GGTCAGTTTCAGCAGCGGCTGAATCTGGACGCCAGTTCCAACTTACATACAGATTCAACTTAAGAACAAACCTACAGTCCCTAACTTGTACGTAACCCGTGGACTGCCTGTAATCTTAAGGGTCCTGGCCCATAAAGGAGTTTTGGGTTAGGGTGGATGTTATGATACTTCTACCCTTACTTTTAGACTGCTACTGGTGGTGGCACTGCTTTCAGAGCTGGAGAGCGGCAGTTGCTGGCAGGAGTCCAGTTATGAAGGTATATCTACTCTCTCTGCACAGTTGGGCCCTCAGAGCAGCTTCTGCTCTCCAGCCATCCAGCTCTGAAGTCAGCCTTACTTCTGAGCTGCTGACACTGCAATTCCCTTAAAATCTCCTACACCCAGTTTGTGACCCGCAGTTTGAGAAATGCTGGTCTCACCCATGAAATTTGTATACTTCAGGGTAATTAGGGGGTGTTAATTAAGTTTAACTGGCTAATCGAATAGTCAATGTCAGTTATCGAGGAAGGTGAAGAGAAGCTAGTGTGAACAGTGCCGGTGCTAAATGAGAAAGGGAAGTGGTATGAACTGATTATGAATATTGATAAAACAAAGATAATGGTATCTGGAGAGAAGGCAATAAGAAGGAAGATCCGTGTAGCTGGGATCGAACTAGAGAAGCTCACGTATTTGGGGAGCAACATGACTTATTTCCTTCTTACAGTCTAAATAATAATGACTAGAATAGTGGAAGCAAGAGCGAGTTTGAAGGCAATGGATAAGATCTGGAAAAGTAAAGCAATTATCTTAGGAATGAAGCTGAGCATCTTAAACGTGTATTTAGCTGCCTGTTGTATGGATGAGAGACATGGGTGATAACAAAAGATTTGAAGATAAGGATATTGGCGTTTGAGAGGAGTTGTTATAGAAAGATCCTGAGAAAAGGATGGATGCAGAAGGTCACCAATGAGGAATTATATAGGAAGATAAAGTCGAAAGAACTTACTGCAGAAGGTTATACAATGGAAGTTACAGCTATTTGGGCATAACTGCAGAATAAAAGATGAGTGAAAAGTTAAGACCCTGGTATGTGGTATAATGGATGGTCCGAATAGGAGAGGCAGACCCCACAGAGAATGGGTAGATGATATAGTAGATTGGTGCGGAGCTAGTCTACAGAAACTAAGCCACTCCGCACTGGACAGGGAAAGATGGAAGGAAATATTAGGAGGCATCGGACACCAACAGGTGTTGAGCCCATGGCTGATGATGATGAGGCTCCCCATGGCATTTCAAAGCAGCAGCACTTCATAGAACAGACCCTGGGCTCCATTAGAGGCAGCAAGGCGGGAGAGGGCAGGGGGAGAAGCGACTACTTGACCATCCAATAAGCAAATGCTTAGCCAATAGTCAAGTAGTCATGCACATCCCTAAGGGTAATAGCACACAAGATCAGATTTCAGTCTGTGTTTTTTGTGGCTATGAATTTGGTAAGCCCCTACATATACCTATGTAATGTGGCCGCCTCAAGTCTGTCTTCAGTGCTGTCTGAAGCTTTTCCAAAGCAGCGGCCAAGTGAATATATCAAGAGATGTAACACTTCTTTTGCTATTTGGAGGCTTGTGAGAATCAGTGAAAATGGCAAAAATCCTCCTTCATTCTGAGCTTCAGCTGAGGCGGGTACTGTTGCTTTCCAAGGAGAAGGAAAATCTCCATTCTGAGAAAATGAGGCTGCATACAGTAGATGCAGCCTCTTCAGTAATGAAAGTGCTGGTGGAAAAGTAAAACATCAGAAATTCTGTCTTGTATGGAAGATGGCAAGGTATTGGAGGGCCCCCAAACAAACAGGAAAATGAGGCTTTGAAGCAGTCAAAGTGTTTCTCCACTGGGAACTGGAGCTTATGAAACTTGAACTCATGATCAGATGTGCTGCTCAGATGGGCTCCCTTTTCTGAGGGGTGCTTATGGCACTGTCCGCACAGGAAAGGCAATTCAAACTTTCCAGGGGCCTTTCTTTTCACCTGGGCTATGTCTACACTGGCATGATTTTCCGAAAATGCTTAACGGAAAAGTTTTCCATTAAGCATTTTTGGAAAAGCATGTCTAGATTGGCAGGATGCTTTTCCGCAAAAGCACTTTTTGTGGAAAAGCGTCCGTGGCCAATCTAGATGCGCTTTTCTGCAAAAAAGCCCCAATCGCCATTTTCACGATCAGGGCTTTTTTGCAGAAAACAGTACAGTGCTATTTGTGCAAGAGGGCTTTTTCCCAAATGGGAGCAGCACAGTATTTCCGCAAGAACACTGACGATCTTACATGATCATCAGTGTTCTTGCGGAAATTCAAGCGGCCGGTGTAGACAGCTGGCAAGTTTTTCCGCAAAATCATTTGATTTTTGTGGAAAAACTTGCCAGTCTAGACACAGCCCTGGAGAGCAGTAAAGATGTGAGTCCTGGCTAGAGCAGTCACAGCAGGGTACTATGGAATGCTTCCTGAAGACCAAGAACATCAACTTTAGCAATGCTGTGTCCTGACTACCATAAAGTAGACCATGCAGGGTTGACTTAGCATTATTCTTTATGAAAAGTAGGAGTACCAAAATAGACTTTAGGGGCCATTAAAGTTGATGGAATGGTAGTGTGGACTCCTTGTTTAGAAAATCTACATTGAGCAGCTAAATTCAGCGAACTCCTAGTGGAGACTAGGGCCGGGATTGAGAAACCTGAATCATGTGATGCTCTACCTGCCCCATGAAACATTGCTAACCCTTCCCAAAGCATCCTACAATCAGTTGTAGAATGGAATAGCTATTTACAGTGCACTGCTTTGTCAGTGCAAAAGCTGATAGTGTGGATGCACTCTGTGGATACAAGGAGCTTAGTGTAGATATGCAAAAGCAATTTAATTAAAATGGCATACCTTTTGTTGGCAGAAATCTAATGTAGGAGTAAAGTCTTTTTTGGCTCATATGGCCAAATAAGTGCTGTATTTACATTCTATACATTACGTGTATATCTAGTGAAATTTTTGACTGCTGCTGTATCTATTTGGCAGACATTTGGAATGAACTCTCCAGTGAACCCAAGATCTTTGAGTGGTAACTAGTTTAAACTCTCTATTTTGAATATGTAGCTATGAGATTATGTACTTGATATTTGGCTTGCATACAGTCTAATCTTTAGAACTACTTCTCCTCTACTATTTTCTGTTCTCTCCCTCTCTCTCTCATATTAAGTTGAATTGATTGGACCTTTCATTGATAAGGGGGTATAGAAGAAAATGGATTTTTGTGAGGAAAGGAGGAGAAATCGGGCATGCTGGTATTAGCCTGTTTCAGACATGGGGGAATAGTATGGATGAAAACCTCTGGAAGAGAGGAGAATATCCTGGGGGCCCTGCAAATGGCATTATTGTTGGCGCAAGAGAGAGCATAATTGGATTGAAGATGTAGAGATTAGTGGCAAGTGGGTTTGGGTTTTTTTTTTTTTTTTTTTTTTTAAGTATTTTGGTCAAACTTCAACAAATGTGATAGAGATGCAGCCGTGTTAGTCTGGTCTAGCTGAAACAAAAACAGAACTATGTAGCACTTTAAAGACTAACAAGATGATTTATTAGGCGATGAGCTTTCGTGGGCCAGACCCACTACCTCAGATCAATATGTGGAAGAAAATCGGCACAACCATATATACCAAAGTGATACAATCAAAAAAGTGAACGCATGTGAATTGACAAATCAAATTTTAGAAAACATTGATCTTCCTCCGATCAATACGTGGAAGTGAGTCTGGCCCACGAAAGCTCATCGCCTAATAAATCATCTTGTTAGTCTTTAAAGTGCTACATAGTTCTGTCTTTTGTTTCTACAACAAATGTTGCACTGAAAATTGAGAGAGTAATAAACATTTGCCAGGAATAAGTTAATTTTTACCATGTGATCTATATATAATGCTAGATTTAATTTTAAATTAATGGGCTGAGCGTTCTTAGGAGTGATGCTAGAAAGCTTCCAGAATTAATTCCCTTCTGATTTCTGAAACAGAGGTCCTCTAGGACACTGTAAGGTAACAAGTGGAGGGTTCATAAAAATTACTAGTATGATAAAAACATACCAGTACCTATCACACTAGTGTCCGAAAAGATCTATCATACTAATAACTAACAAATTTAAGTTAAAACGACCTGTTTTTTGGCAACAAATGGATATCAACAGCATTAGTAAGAGAACAAATCTGCAGGGATTACTGTGGCTTTTGTTTTCTCTTAAATGGTCTGACATGCATCTGAGTGGTTTTAAACATAGTGGATATTTATATATCTGAAATAGAGACCAGAATATTGAACATGGACTCTTTACTTAGGGCACATCTAAGTTTTACTTTAGAAAGAGGATATACAAATTCCCACCGAATGTGCATGTCTTCTTTGATCACTTTTTCAAAAGGTTTTTTCAAAAAAGCAAGCAGTCTAGATGTGATTATTTTCAGTGGGGGGGAGGAAGGAGAACCCTTTTTTGAAAACCTGCAAAGCTCAATTTTTTGAGGAAGAAGGTTCTTTTGAAAACCCTTTTCGAAAACTGCGTCGACCACTTTTTCAAAAACTTTCTCGAAAGCGATCAGATGAAGAAATTTACATATCTTCCGAAAGTAAAACATAGTCTAGATGTGCCCTTAGTGCTTTCAAAGTTGTGGCATCTAAAAGCAACAGCTCAACTGGATCCAGTCTGGTTATGTAAGCTTGAAAGAGGATGCATTTATGAATTTGCCAGAGTGCCAGTTAGATTTTTAAGGCTGAGGACTAACTGACTGCTTTTGCCAGTATATAATAGAATCCAGTAGGATGACCCCGTATTTGAGTCTACAACAGGGATGAGCAAAAGGGCCTCCACAGGCTGAATCCAGCCTGCCAAGCGAGTTCATATGGCCCATGGAGGCCTTGCCTCTTCTCCTCTTCTCCCCCCCCCCCCC